ACCCTCTTTGATCTCAGTTTTCAGTGAGCTAAGAAGTTTTTAACAAGGGTTTTAAAAAGGGTTTAAGAGTTTGTTTGAGTTTAGTTTGTGAAGCAAATTTCACAAGAGCAAAGAGGAGATCATCCTTTGGTGTTTGGGCATTCAACTCATCTCTCTCTCACTCTTGTCATTTATTGGAGAAGTTTTCTAAACTCAATCTAGCTTTACATTTTATTGTTTGATTATCATTTTATTAAGCTAGTGTTTATATTGAGTTTAGTTGATTTTATTTATCTCTTTGTACACACACAACCATTGAGCTTATTGTATTTGCATACATTGTATAATTAGGTTGTGGGATTGTGTGACTTAGAGAGTGAGCCTACATTGAGTTCTCATCTATTGTAGAGAACAAATTTGTTGTATTGTGAGCCTAATTGTGAGGAACACTTTGTATTACACTAGTACACCAAGAGGAGTGTGTGGTGAGAGATGGGGTTGTCCCAAGAGGAGTGGTGTAGGTGATAATGCCTAGAGAGAGGTTATAATTCCTAACACTTGAGGGAGACACGGGCTAGAGACCAACACTTGAGGTGGTAGTTAGTGTAGTTACATTGTGAGTGATTGTAAAGTTTTCGGTTAGCTAGAAAACCGTATTGTGAGGTGTAAACGTTTGTAGGCTGTCTAAAAATCACAATAGATAGCTTATCCCCTATCAAACACTGATGATGGAAGTTACAATCTGACGACTTCCAGAAGACTGCAATTTGAAGCTTTCACGTAGATCGCTGAAGGTTACAATCTGACGACCTTCACGACAGCCGATGAGAGCTCTAGTTCAACAGCATTCACAATCAACATCGGGAGTTACAATCTGACGACTCTCATATTCTCAAGGAGCCAAGATGAAGATTACAAGACAATGATCTTTGCAACGCTATGACAAAAAGAGATTACTTGGTGATAATCTCTGCAAGGCAAGACGCGGAGGTCCTCCCCGCGTTTCAACATCAAAACGCCAGGGTCGAACCCCGCGTTTTAACATCAAAGCGCGCCAGGGTCGAAACTCGCGTCACAACATCAAAACGCCAGGGTCGAAACCCGCGTTACAACATCAAAACGCCAGGGTCGAACCCCGCGTTACAATATCAAAACGCCAGGGTCGAAACCCGCGTTACAATATCAAAACGCCAGGGTCGAAACCCGCGTTACAACATCAAAACGCCAGGGTCGAACCCCGCGTTACAACATCAAAACGCCAGGGTCGAAACCCGCGTTACAACATCAAAACGCCAGGGTCGAACCCGCGTTACAACAAGCCAAAACGCGAGTGACCCTCGCGTTCATTGGTGTTCAGCCAACACCCAACCTCGCGTCTCAATTCAAAGACGCGAGGTTAGGGTCCTGAACGCCAACGTTGGCGTTTGACTCATTCAACATGAGTTGAACGGTTCTAAAACCGTTTCACACGATTTGAGGGCGGTTACACCCCACTTAGGAGAGATTTAAGGGGCGGTTTCACCCCTTTAATCCTCTATAAATAACTGAAGATCAATTCAGTTCAAGTCTCCTTGGCGGGTTGGAGATTTTCCAGTTCCAAGAACTGTAAAGGGCTGGCATTCTCGGATCTGAGACTTGGCAGCGAGGAGGTAGGCTTTTGAGGAGATCGGCATCATCTTCCAAGGGAGATCATCTTCAACTTCAGCTACCGAGATCCAGAGGCTTTGATCCTTGGCTTATTAACCGAACTTTCGGTTCAAATCAACTCTTGTTCAAGAGTTCAAACTCGTTCAGAGTTATCAACTCGATCAGAGTTCAAAACTTGCTCGCCAAGTTCTTCTAAACTCGTTCAGAGTTCTAAAACTTGCCACGCAAGTTCTCCACAACGTCAAATCGTGAGGAGAAGACATCGTTCCAGTGAATCAAGACGTGCGGATCGTCAACGGAGAGCAAACTCGACGCGAGCACTCGAGGGAGGCACTCCATCGCCACCGTGAAGAACCCAGTTTTAAACAAAGAGGAAGAACCGATTTCGTTCTCCTCTCTTTTGTAATCAAGTTGTAATCGGAATCAAAGGAATACAAGTCAATTTTCTTTATTCTCTTCTTTGCAATTTTCCCTGCATACAGACACTAAGCTCAAACTTTTAGTGTATCTTTTGAGTCTTTACCTGAAGAAAAACACTCACTTCATGCGTTGTTGGATTGACTTGAACGTCGGGGAGTCGTTAGATACATCAATTAGTGGACTACCAAATTGGCTTGATTGTTCGAAAAGTTTATAGACTGCGAATTTAAAATGAGAATAAATGTAATGGGCTATTAATTTGTTTAGTGGTTCTATATAAGATTGGGGGTGCGATTGATTAATTTTGAAGGGGCAAATTGTAATTTTATGAGGATTTAAATTCAATTTTCTAATCTTGCAACTCCCCCAAAGAGCATGATAATCATTCGGTTGTGGTCGGGGTTTCCTAATTTTTAAAAAGCTAGCTTATAAACTTATCTAAATAAGCTAGATTTGACTGGGCAAAATACTTTTTTATCCATACAAGTTTATAAGCCTTTATGATAAAACATAAACCTAGGCCTGTCCATCCGGATCAACGCGCCTTTTTTCCAGAATGACCCGCGCATCCTCTCTGTCCGTCTGACCGCTTATTCAACGATATGAGAGTACGCATTGCCTCAGGACGACTGTTTGAGCCGTACATGGACTTGATAGGGGGCAGTTTTGCCATATCAGCCTCCCACGTGCAGCTCAGACGACACGCTCTCATGCGGGTCGTTCTGGGATGATGTGTATTCATAAGAAACACCCTTTTTTAAGAAAAGAGGAGGTAATCGTAACACTAAGCTCAAACTTTTAGTGCATCTTTTGAGTCTTTACCTGAGGAAAAACACTCACTTCATGCGTTGTTGGATTGACTTGAACGTCGGGGAGTCGTTAGATACATCAATTAGTGGACTGCCAAATTGGCTTGATTGTTCGAAAAGTTAATAGACTGCGAATTTAAAATGAGAATAAATGTAATGGGCTATTAATTTGTTTAGTGGTTCTATATAAGATTGGGGGTGCGATTGATTAATTTTGAAGGGGCAAATTGTAATTTATGAGGATTTAAGTACAATTTTCTAATCTTGCAACTCCCCCAAAGAGCATGATAATCATTCGGCTGTGGTCGGGGTTTCCTAACTTTTAAAAAGCTAGCTTATAAACTTATCTAAATAAGCTAGATTTGACTGAGCAAAATACTTTTCTATCTATACAAGTTTATAAGCCTTTATGATAAAACCTAAACCCCACCAAATGTGAGCGCAACTTATAAGCTTTAGGGGAGAAACCATCCTAAAAACTCTCTAAAAGAGAGAAAGTCAAATGGCTTGTTTGGAAAACCTCTTAAATTAGGCTAAGAGTGATCCTCACTTAGTTTTGAGGTAAACTTGTTCTTTTTTATAGAAGAGAGGAGTGGTGTAAAAAAAAAGTTTTATACATCATTTTTGGTCTAACAACCAAAAATGGGGCCAAAACTAAATCGATTAGTGCCAATAAGGGGCTGTTTGGTTCGTTTCCTTGATATAGAGAAATGCAATTCCATGTAAAGAAATACAAGTTTTGAGTTTTTCAAACTTTTCCAAGAAATAGATTGTTTTGCTTTGGTTCGCACATAAAAAATGGTGAGAAACCAATGTATTTATTTTTCTTATGTTTGGTTCGCATAGAAAAAAAGGAAAACTTTTGTAAACAAAGCAGAGAAGGAAAAAAATCTGATGTGGCAGAGTTTTTATCAATTTCACTCGGTTGGGGAAGGAAATCGGAGAGGGAAAAAAATCTGAACTGGCGGCGATTTCAGCAGAGTTTTCTCTCTTCCATCTGAGCGAACCAAAGCGGCACAAAGAAATAGACGAAAACAAAAAAAAACTGACATGGAGGGCTAAAAATCTGACGTGGAGGGGTTTTATGAGTTTTCCACCCCTTATAATAGCGAACCAAACAGCCCCTAAATAAAAAGACTCAAAACTTGCCTTGTCCTAACCCATTTTTAAAGGGTTTTTCAAACACGCCCGAAAGGTTGTGGTTAAATATTTAAATGGATTTTATGTCGATCTCGTAAATTTAAGACAAATTTCGTGTAACTTACTCATTTATCCAGAATTCATTATACTATTATTAAAATTTAAAACAATCCAGGATAGTCTGCTTAAGTTTGATTTTCTAATTTAACCTCTCGTGCAAACATATCAATCATCAATATAGTTAAAAAAAAACATTTCTTTTTCTTTTAAGGGCTGTTTGGATTGATTTTTTTGATAGGTAAAAGGGTGGAAAACTGTTAAAAATGTCAGTTTTTTGGCAGCTTTCCCCCAAAATCACCTTTTATAGAAGTGATTTTAGGGAAAAACTACCAAAAAACTAACATTTTTGGCAGCTTTCCTTATTTTTACCTATCTAAAAAATCAAGGACAAATTTTCAAAATCAACATTTTTAGCATTTTAAATAGCAAAATCGACCTTATCTCATTTTATTCAGCAAAACCGACCCTTTTCTTCTGAAAAGGGTTGGTTTTGCTGCAAGAAAATTTTTACGACATACACGGGACTGCTAGTCCCGTGTATTTCAAAATACACAATGGTTTTGCTGCAAGAAAATTTTTACGACATACACGGGACTGCTAGTCCCGTGTATTTCAAAATACACAATGAAATGCACGGGACTAGCAGTCCCGTGCATTTTACAGAGAGCAACGAACCAAGTGCTCACTGAAATGCACGGGACTAGCAGTCCCGTGCATTTTACAGAGAGCAAGGAACCAAGTGCTCACTGAAATGCACGGGACTGCTAGTCCCGTGCACTTCCTGGGCACAATGAAATACACGGAACTAGCAGTCCCGTGTATTTCCTGCACATTACATTCCTGCACAATGTATTTCTGCTGCGGGAAAATTCCCCGTACAAACTCATTTCAAATGCAACAATCATAAATTACACCATTGCATAAACACATATATCAATTCCCTATACAAACTCATATGTTAATTCCCTGTATAAACACATATATCAAATCTGAAAATCATAAAATACACCACAAACTTACGAATCCAAATCCAACAAATCACGCCACAAACCCACTTACAAATCTAATAAGTCACACCACAGTCTCCGCTACAAATCCAAAAACCATCTATTGTCCTGAAATACGTTTGTAATGTACATATCAAAATAGGATTGTAATTTATATAACAATACCGATTAGCTTATATACATCCAAGAACTCTTCTCCTCCTCCTTTGTCTTCGGCCTCCTCCATCCCGACCTTCGATGAGTTCATGATCCGGTTGCGTTTGTGGTTGTGACGGTCCAGCTCCGTCGTCAACACGTTGGGAAGGCCCAGCTTCATTGTCGTTTCTGCGTCGTCCTCGTCTTTGTCGTGGTTGACATGTGTATACTAATTGCGCTACCTCTCGTCCATCATGAAGGTCTTCATGAGTTCGATGTAAGGCTTGGTGAAGCCTCTACATTATCGACTGATATATTGATGCATGTTTCTGTGCTTCGGGATATGTACCTGCGAGAGATACTTCAAAAAAATCCGAAATGTAAAAATTACTGTAAAATTCAAATTATAAAATGTAAATTTTATATTTAATTCTATATTACCTGCTCGAGCCAATTCCAGGCCACGATTTGCAATAGTTTGAACATCATCTATTGCTGATACCTGTAAATTTTTTAAAAAATATAATTTAGCAATATTGAAAAATACTAATAAAAATGAATAAATTTGAAAATACTTACTAATTCTCTCTCATCTATACCCCGAGGCACATATCCTCTTTGCAACTCAACCGGGGATGTGGTTGCATGGAATATCCATCTTCTAATTATCCTCCAATACCAAGTGTAGTAATCTGATTCCTGGGGAGTTGGCTCGATTTGCTCAACAATACAAAAATGTCTATCATTCCATCTGTGTATATAATTTTGATGCTCATCTGCCCAGTCCTTTTGATGGCCTCCTTTCTTCGCCTTCCTCTCCATTTTTTCAACAAATTGCAGAACATGTTGTGCAAGACCAAATTGTCGAAGCACGCGATCCGGTACATGCATTTCTACTATCTCGAAACATATTAGAGGAACTCTGGCTCTCCATATAACTGGGTATTCTGTGCATATAGGGGGTAGATGATCGAGAAATGTGGTGTAGGGCTCCCATTCCATCTATAGAGTATTACATGTAATTGTTGCATATCATTAAAATGAAAGTTGATATATAGAAGAAAAAACTCGTTTATTTTTGCTAGTTCCCTAGTCCCTATGTCTCTTCTTCGATGCGCTGTTCCCTAGTTTATTTTTGCTTTTTTAACCATAATGGGCAATCGAAGTCCCTTTTGATTTATCTACGCAACCCAATTTATAAACAATGTTTATTTATTTTTCGCACCTAATTGGGCACGGACCAATATCAACGTCCAAGAATGGGCCAGGTTGTATTTTATTATGGATCGGGAAACAAGTAATTCCAGAAATCTTGGACCAAGGCCCTAGATAGCCTACAAGATCCTCAACCGTCCAATCCTTGTCCTTTTCTTGGTTTTTAAAGCGCCTTTTCCCACCGCCACCTTTCTCATTTCTCGACTCCTTTCTTTCCCCCAAAAATCCCAACAAAATTTCCCCAAATAAATGGATTCCAAGGATCTCAAAGCCGCCGACGGGACGCTAACCCTTGACGGCGATCATGAACGGAAGCAGGATCAAGAATGGAACGATTCCGATGATGATCTCGAGACCCCGAACGGATCCGAGGGATCCGGCGACGACGCCTCGATCAAGATCCTCCACCAAGAGATCCAAGTCCTGCGCCGCGATCGATCGGAGATCCAGCGCCGCCTCGACGAGGTTCTCGCCGAGATGGAGAAGTCGGAGGTCGGAAGTAAGGCGCTCGCCGCCCACGCGTCGTACCTCGAAGGCGAGCTCACTCGCACGAAAGAGGATCTCTCTTCGGCGTCTTTGGTGGCTGAGGAGGCGGAGATCGAGGTGAATAGGCTTCGATCGGAGGTCAAGAATCTTGAGGCGAAGGTTGTGGATCTTGATGCGGAGAGGGAGAGTAAGGAGACGGAGGTTAGGGATTTGAAGGAGGAGGTCAAGGTTTCTGATGAGAGGAGAGCGATAGCAGAAAGAGATTTGAAGGAGAGAAGGTCGGAGCTGGAGGTGAGGATTGACGAGCTTGTGAGTAAAGGTCGAGAAGCGATGGAGGAGGCCATTAAGATTAGGGTTTCGAGGGAGCATGAGCTGGAAAAGGTTGTTAAAGTGATGAAGGAGAGGAATTCAGAGCTCGAGCAGAATTTGGCTGGTGAGAAGACTGGGACAGAGGAGGAGTTGGAGAAGACCGTCGAGGAGCTGAAGAAGAGGAATTCTGAACTCCAAGAAAAGATTGATGAGATTTCGTCAAAGGCGAAGAATTTGAATAGTGAAAAGAGTAGTAATACGGAGATTCTAGCAGATGCAGATGCTTCAAAGATTTCATGGGCAATGGTGGCGGCAGCAGCAGCATCAGCAGCATCAACTGGAACTGTTGCTGTTGCTCTGACTGCATTCTATCTCCGCAATGCAAAGCAGAGGTAAAGGGGTATGAGATTTGAATTTCATGGAATTTTTTGGTATTGATTGATCTCATATTTTGAAGATTTCACTAATTTTAGAAGCTTTTGTGTGTGGCAAAGAAAAGTTTGCCGAGTGATGATTGTTGTTCTTTGTGATTACGAAAACAGTTTTTGTGTTGCCGCTGATAAATTTTGACTGAGAACATTCACAGATATGGTGCTTGTCACGGGATAACAAATTTTACGGTTCAAATGCTTATGAAATTTACATGTTATGTTTGTGTTCATAAATTTTGTGGTGTTTTGGTGGAAAGTTGGTTCTTTCATTAACGGACTTATCACAACTTTAATTGTTACAATGATCTCAACAAATAAAAATAAAAATTATAACTTTCTGAAAACACACACAACGGACGTTTATCATCCATTATTTGCGTGAGATCTTAGCTTGTGTCGGGATTATCCGTGGACCACCGAGTGATCAGATCAAATATAAAGGTTTTGTTGCATCGCAAAGGAGACAAGAAATTGAAGTAACTATCTCGGCAAAACGAGATAATCACTCTTCTCGAGAATCGCAGCTAGGTATGATCTCAAGGAAATGGATGAACGGATGCAGATCTCTCGAACTCTTCCCCTCCTTATGCTGAAGAACTCGCCAAGATCACTTCCTCCTCTCTGAAATCCATGCTCCTCACTCTTCAATTTGACAGGGCTTCGCCGAGGCTTGAGAATTCCGGATCTATGTAAATGAATGTCCTAAGGCTGTATTTATAGGCTTCGGGAGCCTGGTTTTCAGATAAAAACGGTCGATTCGATCTTATCCTCAGTTGTAACCACTTTTATCATATTCAAAGATAGACTTCAATCAGTAGGTAAGGCTTTTGGATGAAGAAATCTCGAAACCTTATCGAAAAACAGATTTTTGGGAGACATAACGGGTAAAAACAGCATTCCTGGCCGAGACAGTCTCGGCCTTTGCCGAGACAGTCTTTGTGTCTTCCGTTGTTTTGACTCTAACTTTTCATATAATGTCGGACTGAAGTGATTTAAGATGCGTTGAAAAACTGGAGGAGAGATCTACAACTTTTGTCTTTTAAGCTTATTCAGATTAGAATCATATCATGGCCAAAATCTCAATTCTTCTCCGAGACACAATCTGTGTCTCGCTGGTGTATAACGGTCTGAACGGTCTCGGGTATTTTGGCTCTAACTCTCTCGTCCGATCTTGGAATGAGGTGATCCAAGGTGCGTTAGAAAGCTAACGAAGAGCTCTACAACCTCCCATGGGTGAGACACCCAAGGGATGAGCAAGACACGAGTGATGCTTACTCTTTTTTGGGTGAAATGTAACTCCAGGTTGAGTCGCTTCTTCATTATTGTACCATTCCATTGATTTGCATGCTCTGTCAACTCGCTTCATGCGTTTGTTGACGTCAGATAATCCTCATTGACTTGGATAATGACGTTCATCGTCTTCTCTATGTCTCGAGCTGCGTGCGAAAACCTATAGATAATTTTTAACGCTTACAGATACCCACTCCAAAGTGTTTCAGCCATATTCTTTTATAGAGGATGCTGGAATATTTTAGATATGGTAGGCCTAACCTTCAATCGACATAAAAGGACCTGTAACTGACTTCAGTTTTTGACTTCTTCAGTTCTCAGTCTATTCAGTATTTTGTCGAATAGCTAAAATTCCTCCGGTGTTGCGTTTATCGTCTGACCATTGTCGAAGTCTCGAATTGAAATTGATGTATTGGTTTCTGAGCTTAGCTCGTGTCGTTGAGTCGACGTTGAACCGATTATCTTCATCGGGGATTCACATCTGAATCGCGATCGAACTCCCTGGGATTATCCTTTAACCTGGGATTGATCTGAGCCTTGTTTTGACGAAAATTATCGACGTATCGACTGGCATAGGCCTTCATTATAACAAGTTGACCAACGTTGACTTTCATCGTAATGCGTTGACCGGCGTTAGGGAGTGACAGGCCCAAGTGTAGAGGCTGTAGGACCAACCATTGATGTTGGTTCATCTGGAGATACGGATCTTCTCCTGAAGTGGTCGTCAGTCTTTTCTTAACCATAGGGGAGTTTTAAATTGTAGGATCAGCAATTTGAGCTGATACAACTATTATTACGAATGCGTCCAAGGTTCCTCGTGGAGACTTCGGTTGGAATTGATGTTCTTCCCGATGTTCAAGTCACGAGACCGACTGGTGAAGTTGGTGCGTCAGTAGTTTTTGTACCTTATTATGATTACTCATTCTGTTTAGAATAAGTAAGCACAATAATTATAGGATTTTTGGCAAACCCTCAGCTCTCAACGGATTTAACGAACCTTTATCGACTACCGTTTGAGTTAGGCTAGCATGCAGATTGTTTAAGTTTGTTCTGTATGTAACATTATACTAAGAGAGTTAACTCTCTTAGACTGGGTGCTACGATTTTGAATACATAGACTTTATCATTTTTACGGGAACGGACCACCTGACAACGCGTGTTAGGCGTAGACTTATCTCTGATTAGGGATCGAAATAATGTCCCCCAAACAGATTCTGGTGTCTTTTCACGGTGAAAGACTAACCAACAGCATGTGTTAGATACAGAATTATCTCTAATTAGGGATTGAGATAACATCCCTCAGGCATGGATCCTGATGTCTTTTCATGGTGAAAGACTAACCGGTAACGCGTGTTAGACGTAGACTTATCTCTGTTTAGGAGTCGAGATAAAGTTCCCCATGCAGGAGAGACATGGATTTATGATGTTGAGAGATTGTGTCTTCTCTTGGGGCAAAGACGAACCCAATGCGAGAGAAGAATAATTTTATATTCTATCTTCCAAAACTAAAGAGGAAGAATTTTATATTTTATCTTCATGATCCAGAAAAAACTAAAAGTGGGATCTCTACTTTGAGAATATTGGAAGGTGAAACTAAGAGTAGGATCTCCACTCCTAGAATCGAAAAGATCTGGATAACCCTAACTTTTATAGGATTGATCACCCAATCTGAAAATGAATTTCTCGTTTATCGAGATAAAAATCCAATTTTGGTCCTAACTGTAGAAATGTTTGATTAAGTGGGAGCTTGAGACGACCCTAACTTTTATTGATTTTGATCGTTCAATTTGGGTGGAGGTCTTTCGTTTATCGAAAGGAAAATCCGGCTTTGAAAGTGGGTCTATCGTTCATTGAAAAAATTAAAAGAGAATTTTGGCTCTGGTCCTAACTATAGAAGGTTTGACCAAGAAACAGTGGGAGTGGAGATACAAATAACAGTGGGAATATTGACTTGTACAAATCACTCAGTATAGGTTTTCGGTGTCAAGTGACAAGGACTTAACACGAAGAGGGGGGTGTCGTGTTAGAGCCCAACAGTGGGAGTGTTAAAGGTTTGGACACAGTAGAAGTTCGGATGGATTCAAACACGAAGAATTTTGGTGGACCTACCATCATTTGATTTGATCGGTGATGGATTTTATGGTGGAGGATCATGAGTCATTAAGCACTCCACAATTTAATTGTGGGGGTTTCGTGAGGAAAGATTGATTGGATTAAGTCATTAAGCCCAACAGTAGGAGTTCGGATGGATTCAAACACGAAGAATTTTGGTGGACCTACCATCATTTGATTTGATCGGTGATGGATTTTATGGTGGAGGATCATGAGTCATTAAGCACTCCATAATTTAATTGTGGGGGGTTTTGTGAGGAAAGATTGATTGGATTAAGTCATTGAATCTCATCTCAACGAAAGAATGCTCTAAACGTCACAGTGAGAGGGTTTTTAATCATCTTGGAAATGATTAAATAGTTATTGTGGGAGGTTCTTAATCATTTTTTATCATGATTAAGAATAAATTATTCCGATGATCGGTTTTCACCTTGAATGGTTAGCTGGTCTCGGGTTATCCTTAAGAATATTACGAGTAATATTCTCCAGGAACTTCCCGTGAATCACAGTGGAAGTATGCTGATCATCTTAATACCGGGTTATCTTTATGTTGATCATCTTAATACCGGGTTATCTTTAAAAATACTGTGTGTAGTATCCTCCAAGAACTTTCCGTTAGCAATAGGGGAACAGTTTAATCTCGTATACCCGTTGGAGGATCGGGGAGCAGTTTAAACTCATATATCTGTCGGAGGATCCCTTTCCCACTCGGCTTACTTCGGCGTTATGACGACAGCGTCAACCAAGGCTTGAATGATGTTTTCAGCGTAATACAATTCTTGGTGGGGTGATGTACCTTCATGTGGTACGCACAGTACTTTGGATCTGATGTCTTGTTTGCTTCCTCCTGATTTATGATCGGTGACAGCTTGATTTTGTCGTTGGCAATGAGGTACTTGAAAATAGCTGGAATTTCATCATCTTCGAAAGAGTACTCCTCCTGGAACCTCAAATTAGGAGTCCTTTGTCGCCTCCAAGGTTGCTGTTGATGAATATCGACAACGGTTGCAAGAGCCTTGGTCGTCGGTTGGCCTCTCTCGGCTTTCTTCCTTTTGAAAAAGTGTTCGTTCTGTTCACCACGCAATTTTAATTCTTTCCATGTGGTGGATGACACGACCCCCAGGATTTTTAGGACATCAATAGAAAGGTTGTTGTGACATGTATACAAGATGAATTTCTCTGTAACGGGATCTCTGCAATTCATTATCTTATCGCGGAAGCGTTTGATAAAGCTGTTAACTGATTCCTCATCCTTCTACTTCTCGTCCAGAAGTGTTCCAATTGATACTTCAGTGTCATAGTCAAAGAAACTGCTGAGGAATGAGCTCACCATGTCATCCCAGTTATTGATACTCCCCGACTTGAGGCTGTAGGCGTATAAAATTGCCTATAGGTCCCGTTACACAGCTCGACGATGCCGATTCGACAGAACGAACCATCAGGCGACGTATCCAAACAAGATCGTTAATCCGCAACACCGAAGCCAAACGACACGCGAGGAAGCGGGATAACAAGGCTACGAAGCCGATGAACCGCACGTAAACAATGGAATGGATCCACTCA